ATATTTTGTAAGGTGCATTAAAATGTAAGTGAAAGTACAGGATCTTACAATAGGCCTACACCTACTTTACAAACAGAGGTTATCAATTTTACATTACCTTTAAAAAAAATCTGTGTGTTGATTTTTAAAAAATGCATAAAACCTACTGAAGTACTAAGTGATAATTTCTAAAAATACACGTTCTTGTATATTTTCAGTGTTTTTGTGAATATTCCTCACAATTAAGTTCTTTACAATTTTAAATCACTGGTAAGAAGTGAAAATCTGGTGCAAGTTGTACTGTTTATGTGTATATGGCTACTATTGGTCAGTACTTATACTCCACCAAGAAATCGCAATACTCCATTCTCAATCAACCCAGAAACTGTAACAAGTTGGCTCAAAGATGAAAGGCTTTTTAAATGCCTTCCATTCAACTTGTCTACCTTTGTAGATTCTTCTTCAAACTTCAAGGTCTTCTTTACAATTGTTAACCATTTCACCATTGTTTTGTTTCCTCATAGTTACTGTAGTTAAACCATTTATATAAGCATTACAGTTAAGTGTTAAACAGAGTAACAAAAAACGTTATATATGATTCCACTAGAACCATATGACCCCATGTTAACTCTTGAGTAGTTTATCATTGATTATTATTTAGCATATTATGTTATTCAAATTCAGTAACAATGGTTATATAAATATAACATCATAATAATCTCAGTTTATGAAATGGATATTTCTTTTACTAACTGTTGGACCATTTAGTCATTATAAGACAAACTAGAAGGGAGATTTTTAAAACATCTTTATATTGTAATGTAAGTTTTATGAGACTGAAGCAAAACAATGTTCTTAAAATTGTGTCAAAAGAATGAGCATTTTCCAGAAATGTAAATAAGTTGGAAACAATTTTCATTTTGAATTTTATTTGTTAGAAATTAAAACATAATCTGGTCTTGTGCTAAGTGCATGAGAAATCACTATTCATGCCTATATGCCAAAAGTTGCTCACACAACACATACAAAGAATCACCTCGCTGTAGTGAGGTGTGATCTTGAAATAATGATTTGTAGAGTCATTTTGATATGAATTATTTACTGAATGACTTCTTTTCTCCTTCTCATGTCCTAACCTTATGTTTTCCTTTCCAATATGAAAATTTTGGGTTCTTGTTAATCTATAAGTGTGGTAAGATACTGAACTTTTTTTTATTTAAAAGTAATTGGAAATTTCATTACTTCTGAATGGACAGATTCCACTCTTCCTTCTTATGTCTAAGTTTGTGTATGTGAAACTAGAGCAGGGTGATTATGTGGTTTTGCTAATCAGTTAATTGCATTAAACTAATTGATTAATACAGTATTCTTCAAATCAAGGTACACATTGGAGCAAAAAAAAAAAAACTTGGAGTTGGAGGTAAGTGCTGCTAGCCAGTTGCTTTCTTGGCATTATTCAATTTAATGATAATTTCAGTTTATGGACACTAATCAATGTAATTTATGCTCATTTAAATTAACTTTTGTTTCATCCATAGGTAGGAGTCTTTTTCTAAGTTCAAAAATTTAGTTTTTGAAATATCATAAGGAATTTACTGTAGGTGTATTTAGTCTGTTATGTATAGCTTGCAAGTGTTGTGGGGTTAAAATTTTATCAAAGTTGAGCCTTACAATTTCCTACACAGTTTAGTGTTGTGTGTTGAAATGGTATTAAACTTTAATATTGATATTGTGAAATAGTTTGCAATTTATCTATTAAGGCTTTTATTGTATGGATTACTTGTCTTGTGGATTAATGTGATGATTCCTTATCGGAAATCCAGGAATGTGATGAAACTTTATTGTTATACAATAAAGTTAAGTCAAAAATGTCATCAGTTTTCTTTTTAAGTGTTATTTCGTCATTGAAAAACTTCCAGTAAATGTGAAAAAGGTGCCACAAGAGAGATGTTAGTTTCTTTGGATACTGTTGATTAAAGGTAGATGTTAGAATGTGGGTGAAGTATGTTAATTAAATTTTGAAAAAATTGTTTTTGGATACAGTTCTTATGTGTGTGTGTGGTAACAGTCCTATTTATCAGGCTCGCTGATTAGCAATGATTTTTTGATTGCAACCAGAAGTCCTTTTTAGTACAAGCATTAGGTCAACACTTTTAACGTGATTTATTTTAAGTCTTAAATGTAGGCAGTATTTTCTTTAAAATATTACATGAAAATAAATAAGACTACTATGGGAAGATTGTTAAGGCTAAAAGTAGATATCTTCAATAAGTTCCAATAACAAAATTACAATTTGATAATATAAGCTTACATTTAAATACAGCATGACTTGAGATGATAAAAAGAAATGAAAATGGGGCGAAAACTTTTGAAACCACAGTATGATATTTTCATTCATTCATATGTTGCTTATAATTTTGTTTTACTAGATTTTGTAAATTTCTATAGTTGTTTTTTTTTTTTGTTGATGTGATTAACTTGGCTTGTTTAATGATAGGAATGTAATCGTTCAGCAAGGCACATTTCTCTAAGGATTTGAATAGTGAAGTGTGATATGTTAGATCTTTATCATAATAAGCCTGTTTTTAGGTTCTTTTTAAATCCTGAAGAAGAGATTAGAATATAATCTTCTAAAGTGCATGATCTTGGGAAAAGTCTGGTAGATTGTCATCAATTAGTATTCAGCATAACATGAAATGTGCTTTTATGCAACACAAATTTTCAGAGAAGTGGGATGCTCTATGACAAATAAGCAATTTTTGTGTGGGGTAACTTGTGAAGACAACAAAATCATGGTTTAAATGTACCTAAACATCACATGTAGGATTTCTGTATTTCACTTTGAGAGACTTTACCATTTTACAGTTGAGGATTTAAAGTTGACCTTGTTAAGTGTGGACAAGATGCACAAGTCAAACTTGAATTTTGATTATTGGTAGATCGTGTTGTATTTCTCAAAACATTTGTAATTTGTTGGTATAGAAAGAAATCACAGTTTATTAATATCTTATATGCTCAGGCTCGTTCTGAATAACAGTTATATACTGTATAAATCTTCTTCCCAGAAACTATTTATAATCTATTATACATCGTGTCTTTATCCTCTAGAAGCATTCAAAATTTGACAAAAAGTGATGTTTTTTGGAAAGAGAGGCAATGCCTGCACAAGTAAATAACACTTTTGAGTTCAGTTTCATCATAGTTGTTTTTTGTCAAATAAAAATTCTAAATAGTAGCCAAAAGTTCTATTTTCCTTTCTTTAAAAACAAAAACTGCATAATCCAAGTTCGATTATGATTTTACTGTGATATACTTTGTTAGTACATGGTTATAAACTTGTTTTTCTTATTGTTGTGTATGTGGGGGTTCCGATATTAATTTTGGTAATTAATTTCACCACAAACTTGTTATTTGTTAAAGAAAACGGGTCTGTAGCTTTTTTTATTTGTGTTGACTACCGCCCGATCGAAAGCAAGTTTCTTTGGTACTACATGATAGATGTGAACAAAACTGTTGTAAAATCATCATTCAATAAAAGTGAAAAATGTTGTTGTTTTTTTTTTTTATTGAGTTTCTGAGTGGTTATCTTTACAAAAGTATTACATGGATTATAGTAAAGTATTAACAGAAATAGTTTTGCAATTGTATGTATAGTCTGAATTACTTATATAACACCTCCAAATTCATACTTATCTGTAAATAAATAAGTAATATTCATCTTGTGATGAGTATAGATGTCAAGTAGCTGTGTGCCAAATCCAGTTTGTAATTGTATATATATATAGTTAATTGGTTGTGGTGGGACAGTGCAAGTACTTCTGCATGCAATCTATATTTGGCCATTAAATGTTAGTGATTACACAAAACAAAAACATTGCTTATTCAAAGCAGAGAAATTTAAAAATTTTTTTTTGTATGTTAAAAACTTGATAAACTAAATAAATATTCATGAGATATGACTGCTTGTAATGAAAAATTGAGATTTAAGGAAACTGCATTTCCACCATCCCTGCTCTCAATTTCGTAGATACCGAGAAATCCAGTTTGTGTTCCGCTGCCCTATTTATATGTACAATGTGATAAAAGTTTCCCTTGCAAGCTCAAAATATAGTACAGAGATATTCAAAGTTTAACATCTTATTTCATGGAAAAATAAAAATTTGAACTATTTAAGATTGTTTTGTGTAAAGTGAAAGCATTGAAAAGCATCAAATATTCTGTGCCATAACTACCATTAAGATACAAATAAGTTACACAACTCTACGATGTCATTATATTTAGCAAAAAAAAATCTAGCAATCTATTAAAAGTCAAATGTTTTAATAGACAAGTGTCTATTGCAGTCAAAGGGGTGAAAATGTCTTTTTTTTTTTATTACTTTAAAACTGCAGTAAACATAATTTCCATTATTTTGCATATATAAAGCTGAAAGATTGTTCTAGTATATCATTTTGAACTTAAAGTGTACTTTGTGCATCCTGCACTCTTTGAATTAACTTTATGTAATTCTGTTATAACAAACTGTACTGAAAAGTGTTTTTAGTTGATGCTGTTAGCAAATATTCCAGTTACTTGCCAAATTTTATATTGCATCTCAAACCCAGTATGAAACCCAACAAGGAACCAAATATATGCAGTATTAGAAGTACTTACTTTAATAGCTTCAACATTTGGAAGTTTTATATAATTAGGTTCTCCATATTAACTCACTTAGAGATATAAAAATTTTTTTCACTATCTGCTAATGTAAATTCTAGTAAAAATTGCATCTCTCTATTATTTTCAAAAGAAACTAGAAATTTAATCTCCGCTAAATATGTTTCAGTTTCCTCTTGACAGACTTGATTAAAACTAGATTACCAGTCATTAAAAATAATTCTTTAAACTATATGTACAAGAGTATTTAAATATTTCCAAACTAAAATATTAATTTAAAATGTATACCTTTTAATAATTGTTACAATTTTTGTACTTTATCTTTAAAAAAGTAATCAGTATTAATCAAAGTAAATTACTACAAATTTAGTTATTTCTTTATTGACAACAGCAACTCATTATCACAACCTTTTACAAAATTTAATATATTTTATCATGCAGCTTATTTTAGGCACTTAAAAGATAATCAGAGAGGAAAAAAAAATATGTATAGATGTTATTGTAAAATCATACTTCTACAGCTCTATGCATTTTATTAATACTTCAGTTTTACCAGTTGTGGAAACAAGTTATATTACATACACAAATAATGAATTTATGATATTTCAGAAATGTGTGTTCAAAAATGTATATAAACCATAATTCACAAAACCCAATAACCCAAACTCTTTCGGATGGTACACTTCCCTGAAGAAGGAAAGTTTAAAAGATGTTAATTCAACATAACTTGCAAAAATAAATTTTACTAATTTAAGCTTATTTCTACACTACTAAATTACCTACATAATGTTTTGTCTTAATTTCTGCAAATAATCAAGAATTAGAATATTTATTATGACTTGGAACTTAATTGTCTAGCTCCTTATAAATGAAATGAACAACAGTTGATAGGTTATTATATGCAAGGAATCAATTAAACATAAAACATTTCCAACTTGAACACTTGTGAGCTAACTAGTCAACATTTTTTAATATTATTTTCATACATAACTCTGGCATAATATTGAGGGCTAGAACATTTATTTCATGTCTTAGTTCAGAGATTAATAATTATGCTCTGTGCATTCTATTTCAGAAACACCTGAAGAAAGCTAAATGGTTGGTTACTAAATCACATTTAACCTAATTGAATCATTTTCCTAGTAAAAGTGATTAAGATAAATCCAATATATATATATATAAATATTTTTAAAACTCACCTCTTTAGACTCCAAATTCTCTATATATGCAACAATTCAATGAACATTCATTTGTGAAACAGCAAACCACTGTCTAAAATGTGTGTTAGTTAATACCAAAACATGGGTATTGATTACAATCACGTTTCACAACAGTTTTTTCATTTTCTCTGTAGCACAAATAAACTTTTCCTTCCAAACAATACTATTAAATATATATGTTCACTTTATTGGAGATATAATGTGGGTCTTCTATACAAAGGTTTTTATATAAATTTGTTAGTTCTTTCTAAATTTTCATTTCACAACACAGTTTATCAAGTGATTTTAAAGTTTTCAAGATGAAATGTCCTGGAACAAACAACTAACCCATTTTGGTCAGAATATACTTGTACCATATAATTATAGAATTCTTTCTTATATACAGAAAAATATATAGTTTGGAACTTAAACCATAAGTGTACCAACACCAGAGTTCATGGTTAACTGTCTGGTTCCATTATGTAGATACAGTTTTACTGGCCTTGTCTGTGCATATTACAAGACAACAAATGTGAGCGAAGGCTACACTTAGAGGTAGTAGCAAGGGAATACCTCAAAGATAGATCTTCATGTGGGTTGCTTTTGGCTGGTTCCGAAACTTCCTCATTCACTGGGCACTCAGTCTCACAACGTTCAGTAAGGGAGGATAAACCCTCACAAGAATTCACTGTATCAACTGTGGTTTGACAAATCGGCATTTTTTTATGTGCCAACTCCTATCAAATGCAACAAAGGTATGTCAGTAAACAATACTGCAAGTATGAACTTGAAAACCCTACACATCTCTGTATTTTATATACTATGTGACTGCTTTATTATATCAACATTACTCTAACAACATACTCCCTGTTGTAAAGTTTTATAAAAACGAAATTACCACTTCCTTATTGGTGTGGGTTGTTAATATATAGGTTGATTCAGAAATGGAAAGGTATGGAATCAGGAATCCTGAGCCTACCCCATGACAATATTATCGTGGTCATGTCCTTTCCAAATTGCATTAATATGCATCATACTCCCAAACATAAACCAATCTTTTGGGTGACAGACTTTAATTGTCCATAAATTCCTTAAAACTCGTACAGATGTTACACACAATCAGACCTCTGAACAAAAATGAGCAAAACAAGTAGAAAAATGTTCAGGATTTAATGTATCAAAAATGTTATTGCTTCCATAAGTAAGTAAAAGATATACCTTGTCAATAGCTTGAGATTTTTCAGTTTGTTTTTTCACTTTATAATGAGCTCTGGCTATGGCTAAAGTTGCCTGGTGAACTTTGCAATATATCCTTTCTCCTTCCAATGTGTAAAAAACAAACATCCCCTCTCCTGTAAAACAGTGCCTGTGAAAGATTAAAGTAGTATTAGTTATAAAAAAAAAATCTAACTATTGTGTCAATGTTCCTCAAGAAATTTATCAGTATCAGAAGGCTGCATAGTAGAAACATTAAACACACAAAACTTGCTTAGTTGTTAATGATATATAAACATTACAAATTTATCATCACAAGGATTTTTCTATGATAAAATGACATACAGATGTCACCCAAGTCGTACTCTAAATGAGCAATTGGTAGTATTTACTAATTGATTAATTGTGTAGTACACACACACACACAACACACAAGAAAGGAAGAAAAAAAAAAGTGTGAGCTGCCATCATAACTTTTCAACCACTCTGTTATTTTAACATAGTATCAATCTTTCTATTTTCATCCACATTATTTTGGTTTTCTGAATTTCCCTTGATTTCACATCATAAACCACTTTTGAAGGTTGCCATTTGTTAATTTTGCAAAGAAACATAGAATATTTTGCATTATTATTATTACAGATAATCTGGACATTTCATACTTGGTGAATGAATTGCAAATGTTGACCTAAAAACCACCACCACGTGGTAGTCATTACATTTGATTTTAAAATAGACAGTAATTCCACACTGATCTTCTATAAATCAAATAAGCTGATAACTAAATAATGAAAACATGTTTCACAGTCACCAATAAGGGTAGTAATTTTTTTTTAAACAGACACGTGTCATAATTGCAATTAAAAATAATAAAGCAGCTAGTTAGCCAATTAGTATATGTACATTATATGAATGGGATAAACATAAAGATTTGAGTATTCAGAATATTTAGTAGTTGCCTATCCTACTCACTACACAGTAAACTTATCTGATTTGATGATGGGGGGAAAAAAAAAAATTACAAGCATTGTAACTCAACTAAACATATTGAATATATATATATATATATATATATATATATATATATATATATATACTATACTACTACGTACGTACGTAACGTAACGTTACGTACGT